TTTCTTAATCTTACCTCGTTTGCCTCCATTAAGCGCTGTATATTCACTGGACCCATGTCCTCTAAACCGAGAACCACATGAAGCTCACCGATCCTCCGAGCAGGCCTAGAAAAAAAGGTTCATTTTTTAACCTCGTTAAATGAAGATTAAAAAAAAAATCAAACGAACAAACAAAACAAAACACTATTCTAATTTTTACGATGGTTGTGAGCGTGCGAAAGGTCTGCGGAGGTTCTGGCACGAAAATGAGGTTATTGGAAAATCACTTCTCCCAGCCTCTCACACTGGTATATCTACTACAACCTCAAATATCACGAGTAACTAAGTTAACGGTGAATAAAGAGAGCTTTTATCAGTATCAACTCTGTTAGTATCTATCGAGTCTACAAAATCGTCGTACTTACTTTTCCGAAGTAAAGATCAACACCCTCTCGTTGTAAATTTGCCTGTGGCCGGTCACTTCTTTGCCCTTGACACGTGAAATAATAATATGACAAATGCAAAAAATTTAGCAACAACAGTCACGGTGAGAAATAAATGTGTCAGATCACTCGTCCCCACTTTTTTTTCAATTGAAAGCACTCAAGAAACCACATACGGTATTTTCGCTATGCGCTTTGAAAAGGGTGCTAGTGCATCATTACTCGATGAAGCACGAACCGATTGTCTATCAAAGAATTTCAACTTGACTCTCACCTGCGACAAGACTTGAACTTTATTTGCACTTAAGACAGAGGCTAATGACATACTGGAAACCCCAATCAGAAGATTTCCAGCCATGCTGTCTTTATGCCACACCTCAATAATGAGGGGAACTCTACGGTTAAACAAAAACAAATTGAGATACGTAAGTAATCTAGGACTGAACTGACTGATTTACTACACATAGTGATTTATCTGGAACACAAGTGCTGTCTGCAAAACTAGAACCAATTCCCATGTGATCATGTGATCGCGTTTTCCCGCGCTTCAATTCGGTCACGTGAGCACTCATTGAGTTCTCATATACTCCTTGTCATGTTAATCTCTCCCCTGATTGGTCAGTGTAATTACTTTTAAATTAGCTTTGTTTTACCGACACTCAGCCAAAAAAAGCGCACGACTACAAACTTAAATTTATCGAGCTAAAACATTTTTGCTAACCTTGTGAGAGTCTGTTGAAGAAGTACTGGCGACGACGCAAAGTCAAAGGCACAAAATGATTTTGGTAGAAGAACTTCCATGTTGCGTTGGACTTGCACCGGGGGACTAGTCATTACAGGTGCAGCACTGCCAAAGAAGGGATATGTGTACCTGGTACAAGAATAAACGTAGTATTCACTCCATTAGTTACGATTTTCTTAGTACAAACTAGGCCAATATTAACAGACAAACCTGAGGAAACAGTTAACAGGAGATGTTACATCAAAATTGGAAATACTGCGCAGGTCAATAGAAAAACAGAAGTGGTGTGCTCCTGGATCAATTGGTAGCCTGGTACCAAGTAAAGGAACAGTGCTGAAGGGGCCTGGGGCTGGTATTTGTGACTGAGGAGCCTGGGCTGTCTTCTTTGACTTTTTTGAAGGAGATTCCTGTAAGAAATGAAATTCGTTTTTGAAACTGGTTTAGATTCAACTCTGCTTGTGAACTGAAGAATGAATTAACAGAAGCACTAAACGTGTACCTTTCGTGCCCCTACAGGGACCCCACCTCCTAGCCCTGGTTTTTCAGGATCACTGTGTGGAGTACTGGATTGTGGTCGAGGTGGTGTACCCTTAGGGTGCTCCCCAGCAATCTCTGTCTCTGACCCTCTCCCAGGCTCTCTCTGTCTTCCTCTTGAAGGGGAGCTTGAAAGCTGTTTAGCAGGAGATTTGCTTCCATATGGGAGGTTGTCTACTTCAGGTACCCTCTGGAAATATAATTTAAAACCATGGTTGGTCACAAAACATTATGCAAACATTGGCTGTAGGAATATCATCATCATCAATATCTTTATTGTCATTATCATTAACCTGCAGACAATGTTTACCTGTCTTCCCATTCCACCTGCAGCAACAATTGGCGAGGGGGCACTGGCAACATTCCCAATTGTCTCCTGTGGCTCTAGTCTTAAAGACACAGACACACCTACTCCTGGCTCAGAGTCATCTACTACGCCTGAGGATTGGTGACTATGACCAGGTGCAATTAACGGAAATAAACCTTCAATTACAGCTGGGGTGGCTAAATTTTGTTGCTCATTGAGAAGGCCTTGAAAAGAGACTGCAGCTTTGCCTAAGGACTGGTCCCCACAGCACAGATAGATCTGTAAGAAATTGCTCCGACTGTTATCAATTTGTACAGGAATAAAATTTTGGGTTTTCTTTTATTTCATTATAACATCTTTGTGATACTAGTCTTGTTAGCAATCCATTCATTTGTAGATTGAAAACAATCTCCTTTCAGTCAAAAATGAAGAGCCAAAATCAAAGTAAAAACTTTTTAGCATGTTACAGTGTGGCATGTTGGGTTTTCATCAAGAAAAATTAGATATTTCCATAATGATATCATTAAAAGAAATGCTTAATCATCATTATAATCTCAGGAATCAAAACAATTTTAAATGTACCTCCAGTCCTGAATGTTGGGTGAAAAATGTTCTGAGAAGTTCCAAGTTACTTCTGATTCTTACTGAAGCTCGCTCAGCAGGAAAGTTTGGTTGAAGAAGATCATGAAAGACTTCATTGGTCACATCATTGCTTAACAATGAGTAATAAAAATAAAATCCCCCACCAAGGTTTGGATCAGGCAAGGCAAACCTAGATGGTACCAACTGGAGGGAAAAAGTTATTAACTTATTATAAAACTACAATCGATGTTAAATAGTGCAAACTGATTAAGGAAATGTCATTTTAAACCATAATTGGCAGTAATGTTGCAATCTGATTGTTCAATTTGCTTGTCAATAAGAATACAGACAATGCTACTTGCATCAACATGTCATGCAACCCCTCATGCACTGAAAGATGTCAATATTGCAATATAAATAAATTGACAGTGGTTTACCGTGGTCTGTACTCTTATCAACAATGATAATCATCATCACAGTGGTCAAATTTTGTTGCGGACACACTTGGCTGCACCTTGTTCAAGTCCACAACATTTTAGCATTCATAACGTGACTGGATACCAGATAAGGATCTATATTGCGAGAGTGGCACTGCCAAAGATAATTCACCAGTACATGTAAATATGTATAGGAAGTAATGTCCACATTTACTATTCAGACAACCTGACTCTGTAATGCAAAGGGGTGGTAACCAGTGATGCAACTGCAAATCAAGGGATATAGGCACAACTTACCAGTTATCTAGTTGTCTCGTGATAACTAAGTACTGTGAGTCATAATTAAATGACATTTAGAGAATTAAGGGCACCATTTAATTAAGACTCTTGATAAAAATGTAAAATATTAAAATTTAGCAAAGCTACCTTAGCTAAATTAGAGGCAAGTCCAATTGTGACCGACAAAATAAAAATCCTGTCATCTTCATGTTGTGGCCCAATTTCATAATATCCTTGATCTTCATTCAGCATGCACTGTATCCCATCAGATGCTGGTTTTCTTGGTGGAGAAGGTCTTGGGTGCTGCCCTTTAGAAGGCAAAAAGAATAAAAATGTCAAGTGACTGAAAAAACTGGCTAATTAGTCACAAATATATGTCATATATAGATAATTGAATGTCAATAATAAAAACAGTTTTCATAAGATGAATACTAAAGCAACATGTTAAACGCATGCAGGTCTATTTCAAACTTGGAGAAATTTATGTCTTATTGGTATTTTGTGGTAGATGTAGACAGGCTTAAAGAAAAACAAAATTCTGGTTAGTAATAAATGTTTTATATTCATTGATTGTGACATCCCTTTAATTCTTAATGGTAAATAAAATGGCCAAGTGGTAAAACAATAATTCCAAGTTTATCCTTCTCGACAACACTGAAACTGAATGATATTTAGAAGTGAGCTACCAATATTGAAGGGTAACAAAGAGTAAGACATTTCTGAATTAGGCTAAAAAATATTGTTCATGACATTGAGGTTTTTTGTTACATGGGAAAGGATTTATCTATTACAGTTCAACCTCATCTCTAGTCAAACAAATAGTTTCTCATTCTTTTTCTTTGACTTACTGTCATCTTGTTGTGACTGTTGCTCAGTCTGTTTAGACTGAATGTCATCTTCTAATGACAACATCAGCTTTAACTCTGGTTTCATTCTTTGGTACTTTGTGCTCAGGAGGGAATACCATTGTGCCCTCTGGAACAAAAAATGGTAATTTTTTTCTTCAACATGCTCATAAAATTGCTTTCTCTAAACCATCATTTTCCATGTAATTTTTTAAGCTCTAAATGTTATTCTTTCCATCAGCCAGTAATCGAATGACATTGAATTCTTACCGCTGGTTTTTGTTGTGCTGTCCGCAAATCTAAGATCACATAACCAACAGCTTCCTTTTGAGATGACAGAGTATCCAGAGCATAACACTGTCCAAAAGCAGATCACAAGGGAATTTAGAAATATTTTTAAAATCAGTATAGGTAAGTCAGAACATATCTAACAAATCAAGTAATGTTACTTTTGCGATGAAGAAGTTGCCCATCATACTTCAATATGCCACAGAACTTGGATAGAGGAAAACAACAGCAAAACAAAGGATTATCTTTGAGACAACGGTTCTGTTTTAGAATAGTATGGGGCTACATGGAAATCTTGCCTTCATTTCTTACCATCGAACTCTCAGAAGTAAAAAAGTGCCACAAAAATTTTTTGATAATCTGTTAGCCCGAAAAAATACAATTCACATGTGTTGCACATATTTCACCTGAATTTTAATGGGTGTTCTCTGCAAGCGATGCTGGTGCAAAGACTTTTTGTTCAATTCCCAGGCAAGTTCTGTAGTGAACTCGGGGGTTTCCACATGATCAATGGGATCTGTAGTCAGAGTCTCTCCATCAAACTTTGTTTCGATAATGATCTTGTGTCGTGGTCTTTTAGGAAATCTTCTCCCTGAATGTATCACAAAATGTCCGCATAATAAATAATTAGCAAATTTAACCAGAAGCTGGACGATATTTGAAGGATTTTATTTCGAACGTACCTTCAAGAACCGAGACAACTACTAAAATGCCGTCACTCAGCCCCATTTACACCATATAAACTGACCATAAAGTTATTTACTCGCTATCTGTGGCTGCAATACTTTGAAAACAACACATCGATGAATTCACAAAATTCCGCCATTTTTCAAAAATATTGGTTACCACGTTGTGTAAGCAACTCTTCGAGACCTTCATTGCTATTTCCACTCTTCTCGCGGCTAGACAATTCGCTACCCTGTGATTATTTTTCACCCTTAAGTAACAGAAAGAAGTGAATTCAAGTTAATAATTTTACAAGTACTCAAGTACTATTTAACAATAATTTTTGACTATTTTTTTAATTCCTCGGTATTTTGACGGTTCTTTACATTCTTCTACTTTTACATCATTTTTCACAGTTTCTTCTAATTCTTTTTAAGGTGTTGATTCATATCCAGAGTCGCTCCCTAACATTTCTTACCGTCATACCCTTTCTCTTCCATTTGAGACATAACCTTCCAATGTTACGGTTTCTCTCCCCTGACCCTCTTCACTCCCATTCATCACTGTTTACCCAGACAACTAGAACCAGGCTTGCGACGCCGGTCGTCCAACATGGCGGACAGAGACGGTTAATTTCTGAATTGAAAACTCATCAACTCTTGTGTAAACAGAGCGGGCAGCTGACTTTCGTTGCCGAGACGGTGGATTTATGTGAACGAATAGATAACTGGACCTATTATTTACGTCCATACAACAGGCCAACTTTGGGCAATTGTCATGCAAATGAAGCCAAATCCTACCTCTCTTCGTCTTAGCAACATATGTTGGTTCATTGCTCTATCTTGAATTTATTAATCAACACTTAGGTCTGTTTTTCAAAGGACACAAGCTGTGAAACTTGAAACGATCCAGTTGATCTTTTTCAACAGATCGCTAACAAGAGATCAACAGCACGCGCAATAGAATTGCCAGAAGATTATTGGAGCGACGTTAAAAAGTTAAAATTGTTGGTGCACCAGCTCGACATGATCGATTTAGTCCAGTTTAAAACGGAGACCGAAAGGGCAGCTTGTCAACCAGCTGTCGCTGTGGTCGGAGTATGAGTCGCGTTTCACGCTACAGTACACCTTCGACGTGGAAATAGAGATATTATGGATTTCTTCCTTATCAGACACAACCTTCGCCAATTTGAACTCAGGTGATGAAGTCGATATTTTGGGCATAAGCTTAATTTGCACGATTGAAATAATTTGATGTCATATCGTACAAATATCATCTGTTTCGAGAGTCTTGTTCTCATCTGTGTGGCCGTCTACAAATAAACCAAAATGGCTCACCACCGGGATAAAGATCGTGAACCCGACTTGAAGGGAAAACTATCACGCAAGATAGCTGAACTCACGATGGTCATTCACTTGTTGTTTACGAGAAATCACGAGCGTGAGATTGAAGTAGAATCATTGAAAACTGCATACGAACATGAGATAAGTGTTATTCTTGAAGAAGCAAAAGGAAAAATTTCGTGGTTGGAGGGCCAACTGGATGAACTTGAAAAATACCGTGTTTTGTTGGACTTGAAAAATACAGAGATTGAGAAAAACAAACAGCAGATCCAAGATCTACAAAATAGGGAGGAGGAATTAAATGCACAGTTGGGGCATAAGGATCAGCTTTTAACAATTGCCGAAAAACAAATAGTACAACTAAAAGAAAGCCTTATGGACGTGTCAAACTCTAGGGATGATCATTTGTCAGGTGAACTAGAAAATGTAAAGAAGGATAACAGTAACTTGAAAGAAAAAATCAAGGTTAAAAATGACAAGATAAAGAAAAGCCAAAATCAAGTTGATAATCTTCAGTCGAAATTAAAAACATTGGAGGATGAATTAAAGGATGTATTGGAAAAAAAGCAGAGGCTTGAAGCAAGTGTTGATGGCTTACAAGGGGACTGGCAGGATGAAATTGAGAGACTGGGCCAGAAAATTACAGAATACACCAAACAGCAGCAAGAAGACCAAATAAGAGCTGACAAACTTGAATGGAAAAATAAACAGTTGAGTCATCAAGTAAAGGAGCTTGAGGATGAAAAGCAACAGTTGGAACTTAAAATTCAACAATATATTGATGAGAGAAACAAAAGAAAGGAATCAAAGAGATCACCAAGATCAGTGACCAAAGGAAGTCCTGAAGTACCTCGACCATCACCAATTGATGTATGTTAAGTTGAGAGCTTTGTTTAACCCTCTTATTCGTTGAGATTATGAGTTGATCTAATACCAAATTCTCCAAACCAACATCATAAGAACTGTATGACAGGTGGCAAGGAGAATTCTTGATGAGATCATGGGAGGAAAGGGTTAACTTTGCAGTTTTATTATAACATCATTTATGAGAAAATATTGGTTTGTTGGATTTCCAGTCTTGGTCACACTGCCATTTTAAAACAATGTTGATGAAAATATTTCCTTCTACTACTTTCTCTCTCTAGATTACTATTTCTTATTGTTCTTACATGTTTTGATGAATTCGTTTCTTGTTTTCTTAACCTAAGCTCAAAGGCATGGAATTTAGGATTTAATGACATCTGGACAAAAGGGTGAAGGAAACTTCAAAATCAACCTTGAAAAAATTGCCTCTCATTTATTTTCAAGAGATGGACTGATCTCAGCTATATGTGTCTGACCCCTACTGTTTGGGAGGGGGTTAGAAAAAACATTTTTCAATTGTTATAAAGGAGGAACAAATTTGAACTTATGGGGGTTTGGTCTGCATTCACTATAGAGAGATGACGAGCTTGAACGTCTCAGGAGAGAGGTACAGCGTTATCGACTGGAGCTGAGCAACAGGGAAATGAGTTTCAATCGGATGTTTACTGATCATAAGCCTGTCATTGTTGATCCAAACAGAAGGAAAACGTCCTCTAACCTTGCTCATGACAACGTAAGTAGTAAAGGTAGTGTCATTGGGGTTGTTTATGATGAGTAATTGAGTTCCAATGATTGGTAGGTTACTTAAATGATGAGTTGACATTGAACCTTTCAAAGATGGACACTGAAGGAACAAAGTAAAGTGTTCTTTTCAGTAAAGTCCTCAACATTGACCTTTCTTACTACACTACACTCAAGGGCTAGGACTTCAAGAAGAATGAAATTCATTCAGATATAAACAAGAAACGTCAGATGCTTGCAAATTTGAGAATTAGGGGAGAGAACTTGAAAGCAACATTCATGTCCAGGTTGACATGTTGTTTCACTTTTGTTGTTGTTGTTTCTTTTAGTCCTTCCCAAATCTTAGTGGTGTACAAGGACGGAAAAGAAGTGGAATTCAACAATTACCAGCTCTTGGGGAACAAAGGATTCAGAGCAATCCTCAACAACAATTTCATGGCTTATGATTCAAATTTTAAAGAACAGGCATGCACACAGATTAGTGCAACTTGTATTTATCAAGAAAACAGATTCTTTTGGGGTTTATATATTAAATATTTTAGGGAACAAATTTATTTACATATTGTCAATAAAAATCTTAAATTCAGTGTTAACATTTGTCAGAAATGAAAAATTCTAGATCCCATTAAGGAATTGAACACTCAGATTTTGGACTAATCAGTTGAGTAGCAGTTACAAGTTTGAGTGCCTTGGGAGATCAGGATTAGATCTTTCATTAATTCATGCCTTGAGCTTCTTAATCTTTTATTTAATTGATAACCAATGGCTGACAAATTTACTCTTCTTTAATTTCTTTCTGCATAAATGTATTCAGGATATCTTGCTCTTCTAGGACAATATCGCATATTTACCAAAAAGTTATGATAACAGTTGTCTTTTTTTTAATCTTAAACATTTTCTAATTTTCATGAACATGCACGTTAACTCAATATATCAACCACATGCATGGAAAGTGGCAGTTTTAAAAAGATAACTAAAAAGAAGTGATGTATATCAAATCTTCAGTGTAAACAATTATTATACATTGTAAATAGGATGGTAGTGTAGATGTAGATTAAAAATTATTTCTCTATTTTATTTGTCATTGACAAGGAATATTTGCAAAAGTGATTTGTTCAAACAGTTCCCTTTTTTACAAACCAGTGGCATTTGTCTTTCTTCTTATAGGAATGTTTTTTAGAAACCTTTTAGAGTTATGTGTCAGTGTTTTGCAAATTTTTATTGTTAAATTTGCCGATATCAAAATCTGTTGTGTGCAAGCCAGAAAAGAACAAGTTTCTTTTTTCCAAGGCATCTGCACAACTGAAAAAAATAAATAAATAAATAAAACTGGTTATGTAAAAGGTCTTGAGAAAATTTAGACAACAAGGAAGTACATAAACACATAAAAAAACACGTAACAAGTATTTTCACCTCCCGAGTTTGTCTTGAATCTCATCAATATATTGTTGCATTGAATTTATTTCCTGGAATGATGTAAAAATAAAAAAAATTCAGTTCTAAAATTAACCCTTTGAGTCCGAAAGAGTGACTAACATCTAATTTCTCCTAAAACATCACCCCTGAATCAAATATTGAGGTAAATGAACTTAAGAAGCTTAGGAAATCTTTTCAGAACAGTATGGAGAATATGCGTACTGATGTTAAGAAGGAGAAAAACAAGCTTGCTGTGGTATTACCTAGTCTACCCACTAATTTCACAATTTCCTGATAAAAAGCTATAAAACTATCGTTCAAATGTACGATGATCACCGAGCTGAGACATCACCGAGACTTGCGAAGATAAAAACAATTTTCTGTATTTCACATACATCCTGCAGGACCACTTCTCTTTGTTCTAATTCCAATATGTCACCCTCACGTTTACTGTCACTTGCATCGTCCTGACAAAATAAATAACAGCATAACATAACAACGTACAAAGCTTTTAGCGGGATGTTTTTAGAAATCGTTTCATTACATTATAGGAGAGGATGGAAGAGGGTTTGAGAACTGAACGTAAACAAACTTGTAAGGACAATAACTGGGTATTTCACCTGTTGATCACGTTGCCTACAAAACGATCTTACATTCATCTGGACTCTATCTCTTGTTTGTATTCGCTTTCTTTGATAGGCTTCGTACAAAACCTTCACATCTTTATGGTCCCTGACACAAAACAAAGGGAAGATATTACACATCTCTTCTTAATAGTTATGCGATTTAACCAAGGTTATTCATAACAAAACGTACCGGTATTTTCTTGGAAAGAGTTGTTTAAATTGTTCCATGCTATAGCTGTTATAAATTTGTGGATTGATCAAAGCTTCTGTGAGTAATGCCTTGAATTCGTCTCCAACCCCAGCGGCCATGTTTGAGCGCCAAACGGACAAAACTGTCGCAATTGTCACGCAATGCTCATAAAAAACGTGACAACTACAAGAAAAGAAAGAGGGGAAATTGTCTTTGGCAGAAATAATTATTATTCTTCGCCGTGTTTTCGTATTTTGAAACTGAGAATTGACCGACACATAAATAGGTTGGAGTCGGGGGTCTGAATAACAGTTGAAAATTGTCCGGTGAAGAAATGGCATGTTTTTCCCAAAAAACAGCAAAACAAAAATGTAAATGAAAGTGTAACTTTTAATACAAATTCAAAATATATATACACAACTTAAGTACCATAATCAGATTAAAATGTATCTTGTAGTAGAGCTACATTTTCCTTTCATTCAAGACAAAATTCTTTTGGTATCATTTATACTTAAAAAAAAGCTGAAACTGTGTTGTCTAAGCTATGTATACTGGCATGGATCATTCAATTTAACATTTATTGCCATTGCATGTTCAGGTGAAAAACTTGGAAAGGATTTTTGGTATCAGACCATAAATTAATTCCAAGTTATAATTATTTACAAAGGTAAAGTCTGTTTACGAGCCTAGTGGCCCATTAGGCAGGTGCTTAACTCCGGTTTCTATTTATTTACAAAACTGACACAGAAATAAGCACCAATGCAGAGAAGAATAAAATTTCTGTGATTCTATCCAGTTACAAGTCTTCTACTACCATCATTGAAACAAAATCCTTGTAAAATATAATCCCTTTATCTGGGTCAACAGCAGCAGAAAGCATTTCTTCTATTTCCTCTTGTGTGAAAGGTTCACCTGTTGTAAATGTAAAGGATAACCCAAGTCCTTAAACACTTCTCCAACCAACAAGTAAAGAAATGGTCCTCACATGACTGTCATTACAAGACTAATATATAGATTTAGCCAAGCCTAAAAGAGGAGCTCCCAAGTTCGTAATGTTAGTGATAACATAAAAGATGTGCATTTGCCAAGACTCACCTGAGTCACCCCTCCCTTAGGCACGTACATACGAATGTACGCTTGGTCAGTCACGTGACAACCAAACGAAAAGAGGTTGACCATATTCGATGGGTATGGGGCTCTGCCCCATGTGTGCTTGGTGCATGTGGGAGCCCTGCTATTACAGAATTTCAGAAAGAAGTTTGAAAAAACTCAGGCTTCAATCAACAGGATTTGAACCCTTCCCTCTTGGGTACTAATTGGTTGCTACTACCAACTGAGGGGAGGGGGGACGGGGTCATAAGGTGCATCTGACCATGTGTGCCCTCAAAGCCAAAAAGGCACAAACAAGGATTATTAATAATGTACAACCTAATGATTTCCCAATCACGAGTAAGACTCAAGTGCACAACTCCATTTCACCTCCCAAACAGGAGAATTTTGTGTACACTCTTGCTATCTGCGAGATAACAGGCATAGCATACCGTAATGTTCCAACTACTACTTCCATTTTAACACTCTGCATACCTTCTTCAGTCATATATTTTGTAAGTTCTTCTGTGGTAAGGTAGCCTTTGTTTTCCTGATCTAGAACTTCAAATGCTTTCATTATTTGGTCTTCAGGTGCTGGTTTGTATCTAAGAAAAATTAAATGATGATTAATTTGGGTGTGGACCAAGCCATAAAGAGGCATCTTCTTTTTTCCCTCATGGGAAGAGGAACATGTTCATTTCAAGAGTTAGAATAGACATGACACCCCTAGCAATTTTAGAACATTCCTTACCTTCTTTCCAGAAGAGTTTTTAACATAACAGGTTCAAATTTTTCAAATCTTATGTATCCTGTTGGTTCTTCCTCTTCCACCTATAAAGAAAATGTATAGAACCTTGACATCACTCAACTGAGAAAACACATTCAGACTATTTTCATTAACTAATCACTCTCACTAAAATGAAACTTACTCCTGACAAAAGAATTAAAAAAAAAAATAAAACAAAAAAAGACAAAACAAAACACCAATGCTTCACATACCTCAGCTAAAATGTCATGAAGCTCTCCTTCAGTAGGACAACACCTCAGTGATCTTACAATCGTCCCAACCTCTCTTAAAATGTACAAGATCACAGCTGGATATTTAGAAAAATAAATTTGCCAAATGAATTCGTCAGAAGCGAAATATTATTATTACTTTCTCACCTAACGTCGACAGTTTTGTTAGATTCGTGATCAAATATATCAAAAGAATCTGAAATCCTCTTTTGCAGCTCTGCAGCAGACGAATCGGAGGACTCTATGACAGGTCTTTCGGGCTCATTACTTAGGTTTGGTGAACTAACGTTCGCCATTTTGCTTTCTTCAGTGTTGCCTGGATACCTAAATTTACGCCCGCGATTCGACAACACAATTGACTTTCAAAGATGATGCGCGTTAAAATAAATCTATAAATAAAATTGCGCATATATTTTAGTAAATTCATACTGGAAATTTCGCGTAGACAACATGGTATGTAACTACATATTCTGTCAATTCTGATTTGCCTGTAAGCCTGTATCTGAAGAAATTCGTTCATTTTTGTTTAGGGCGACCTCCTGAAGGAACTACCTTCCTTTAATCAGCGCAATTTTTCAAAATATTGCACAGATTCTAGTTCCAAACCCACGGTAGGTGTAAACCTCGTTACTTGTTGAATTTTAATTGCTTGAAATGAACTTCTCTTTCTTTACGACAGCCCCATATTTTGTTTCTTCAGTGGCAAATCTTCAAGAAAAATGACTGCATTTTATATTTTATAACAAAAGTTTGACTGAGATGCGCAAGCTAAGTCTGAAGTAGGCAACGACAAGTTACGTTAACAAATGCAACAAAATACACGTAAATTTTTTGATGGAAACAAAAACCATGTTTCAGATTCTTGACTTTTTTTATTTCTTCTTTATTCTTGTCATCTGTTTAACATCTCATTTAATGACTGCGTTGAACGATATTTGATAGCCTAATACTGCCCATTAAAACAATGTTGCCTCTTTTAATTTGTTTGTAAATTTGTAAAAATTCTGACTTGCTAGTAATTACTTATTTTTATTGTATTACATAAAAAATGATTTTTTTTGCAATACGTGATCGATCAAAATCGTAGTGGACGTATTTTTTTTTTTTTCGTCAGAACCGTAGGCCTGTTGTTTACTTGCCAACTAAAGAAGATGGAGCAGCTGAACAAGGTACAATACATGAGAGGCCATTGTTCCCATGAAAACATTGTTTTAACTTGTTGCTCATACTTTGCTGTTGCATTAGATCTTGAACAGGACAGGGAAAATTGCTTCTTGGTGTACACTGAGATACAACACCTCAAACTTTTGGGCGCTCTTGTCTCATTTTACCCATCCAGTGTATGTGTGGGCTTCATTGATATTACCACCCACCCCTTCTTCCACCCCTTCTTCCACCCCCTCCCCCTGTTGCACCTTATTATTATCCCTCAATGTGATCATAATCATTATTACCAATAAGATCACCAGCAGCAGCAGCAGCAGCAGCACAATGAATAATAGGGAGTTAAAGAAACGAGAACGGTGATGCTGTGGACCATTTTGGTTAAAAACTAAACTTATATTTTACCTACAAATCTTGGGATACTCTAAAGTCATTTAGTTCATTCTCATGGTCAAAACTATCTTGAAGTTAGAGATATAATTTGGCCATCCTCATTTACGTTCTCCAGACGAAGCAAAGTTTGTTTAATTCATATTAATGTTTTGAAGTGGTCATGATGAAATTTGTAAAAATTTATGCATTTACATAGCCATTGTTCTACTTATAAAACTTTTTGTTTGGTGACTTTCCCCTTACCCACTGCCATTGTGGTTTTCTTAAACTCCCTAATTTACAACAACATTAGGAACTTCAAGTGGGAGGGGTGGTACCCATGCCACATTGTTATTAATAAGGACCTGTCCATGATCACAGCCATATTTTGAGATGAACATCCATAGTGATATTTTTGCTTAAAGGGGAATGATTATGGTACTAGTTTTTGTTCTGTTTTATTTTAGTAATTGTCACAGATAAAGCAAATATTCTATTGAGATATCTACACCAGCAATGGGAAGTCAAAGTAGGATAATTTTCTTTTGTAAAAATACATTCAAGTGATGTTGGTGTCTTCAGTGTTCTCCTGTTTAGTTGTTAACGAGCAAAATTTACCACCAGTAGTACCCCTCTTATTACACAACCGCCCAAAGTAGAGTACAAATAATGCGTGAATAGAGTACAAATGTCCTGCAATATTGTATAAAGGGTCATTTTGTACTGTAAAAAAACCTGTCCAACCGGTCAGCTGCCCAAACTTTGCTTCTCTGTCCAATATCTTTCTAATGTCTCCTATTGATTGGAATCCAATTTAATAGTATATTGTTCCTACAAATATTTTTCTTCAAATACTGTTTTACCAAAAACATTGTCTCTCCTTTCAGGAAATAAAAATTTTTTGAGAAAACAAGTTTTCTTTGTGAAGTTCATGCTTATGGTTCTTTCAGGTCATTATGACAACATGTTTTGTTTTGTTTTTTAGAACACCCAATCTGGCAAAAAACGTGATGTCGATAGCGCTGATCTTCCTGAAACCACAGAACTTAATCCATCAAGGAAGGCAAAAAGATTGAATTATGACGAGGAATACAGCCCACCTGACTAGACACAGTTCAATCTGAGTAAAATGATTAGATTTTTACCACCCATGAACGTCAACATGTCTTTGTAAAAATATGTCACCCTTATGAGGTTGAAGACTCAATCTTTGATTGGAAATTCCTTTATGGTGTAATCAACAGTGAATCAGAACTGTCACATACTAGATATTTATTTTCAAAGTGAACATAATAATTAGTAATGATGGAAGTGTTACAGGTCAGTCATGGTTTCTCACACCTCACACTTGTCTCCTATAAATTTGGCATTGTTTTGAACTTGCATCAGGGTGTCACAATGAATTATATTTCCCCCGATTTCCTAAACCCCTGTTATTTTGATGTTAGGCTCCTTCCAACTTCCTATGGGTTCTCATCATTTTAGCCTTTCCTTAAACATCTCAGGGCCTTGATATCCATAACATTTTCTGGCCCCAGTTGTTGGATGGCTGGTTAAAACTATCCAATGAATAAATCCCTGTCAGGTGGATGGTGCAGTATGTTTTTCTGACACCCATCTGCTGGATAGATATTTATTCTCCCTTTGGACAAGTGGCCCCTTGTGGTCTGAAGAAAATTGTTTTCCTAGTACTGTCCCTACAATTTTGCCCCTACATCTCAATCCAAGAGCAACAAGAACAAGACAACTTGATTGTAATGGTAAACCATGAATCTTTTATGTAGTGACAATCATTAACTGCACTATTCCACTCTGGTGCATTTAGGCAGTCTAATGTGTGATTTTTAATTACATTTTACATTAAGTCTTAAACAATAATGCTAAGTACTGTATTGATATTGCAAAGAGAAATTGAATATCAATCACGTTAAGGTTATCTCTAATAAAAGAACACTGTCCAAGAAAGGTCTGTTTTGTGAAATCAATTCTAACAATATTGTCAGGATAGTTAGACACCAGCAAGGGTTTCAGTGATGGCTGGATAACAAGTAGATCTACCTGCTTGAGGTGTGCTGGTTACTTGCCTGTAGCCTTCATTCAAATGTCAGTGTACTCCCAACCTACTGCATTTCCTCTACTAGGTGCCTGGGTGTTCATTTAAATTTCAGCTTTTACTGGAAGGTGTTTAATTAAGTGGGTGGGGCTTATTATTATCCTGTGCTGATTTTGCTGTAGTTGAAGCTTGAAGAGTTATCAATTCAGGTTTTCCTTACATCCCTACTATTTAGTGAGGGANACTTTTAATCAACTCTTTCTATGGCACCATCCTATGTACTGGTGAGTTCATATAAAAAAACTTCGTTGTCTAGTTACAGAAAGTATAAAGGCTGATAGTTTCGAAAGAAACTGTTTGGGGCTGCGTCGGTGGGAGTAACGAAATAATTTGGATATATCAACAAAGTTGAAATGGTAAATTGGCCACCGTAATGATTACAAGCTTTTGTAATCATTACGGTGGCCAATTTACCATTTCAACTTTGTTGATATATCCAAATTATTTCGTTACTCCCACCGACGCAGCCCCAAACAGTTTCTTTCGAAACTATCAGCCTTTATACTTGAGAAAATGCCTGGGCAAGCCAGACCTTCCAGAAATCATAGAGGTTCTCCAGGCCTTCAAAGCTACCCTCTGCAATTCTATACTACCCATTTATAGCATACAAAATGTAGGAAACTTCAAGAAAACAGCTAATGGCCATAGATAAATTACCCTGGCTCCAGAGGTTTCTCTTTTCCTCTCCTTTTTCTCCCTGTTTACTTTTGAGGTGCGAAGCAGCAAGATTCGCCAAGATTCGAGAAAAAGAGACGCTGCTACGCAGCTCGGCCAATCTCGCTGCTTTGCAGCCTGAAAGGATTGTAAACAGGGAGAAAAAGAGAAACCTCTGGAGCCAGGGTATAGATAAATCCGAGGTTGTTTTTTTCACTGTCCTCTCTTTAAATCTCTTATTTTCCCTGGCCTCTTTATCTTCTGCATGATCAAACCTGAACTCCACAAAACAACAATAGAACAAGGAGCCAGGTGGGGTCTGTGATGCCTCTGCAAATATTAGCTTTTTTTTATGCACTGAGTTGCTTGCAAACCCAAAATCTCACTAAAAGGAAACCTCTATGGTAACTTTCTTTTATTTTGTCAGTATCAAAAATAATGCACTTCTGTACAACTTAAAAACGTGCCCTTATAGAAATAATAACCTCACCCAAGTTAAGCATATAGAAAGCTAAAGAATATCAAACACAAGTTTGGAGCATAGTACTATTTTTTAATTGTTAAATATTCACTTCAATATACAATCAGTACTTCATTCTATTCTGAATCAAATGGTTTTGGTGCTTGCAGCACTGAGTATATATGCTTTAAGCTGAGTTACCACAATACTAGATAAATTTCCCACTGGTAAAAGTTCATGTGTTTGGATATTCTGCTCACGGCACTTCGCCTAGCCGAACGCTGAAATCGTTGACAAATTTTCAGCCGTCACAGTCGAAAGTTTGACCGGTAGGGTGTGAACACGTTGCACGTCCAAACTTTGGAATGGCAAAGGTGTGGTTGCGCGAGTAACGAAAACCTCCTTTCTAGACTCAGTTGGTTCCATCCTTTTCATGGATGACGTATCTTGCACAATAAATTGCCAAACTGCAGTTCGTAGCAGAATTTTCTGTAAATTCGAACTTGACGATGCAGAATACTTCTGGGGATTGAAACCTAAAGCCCAAATTGTAAGAGCATGCGCGAGGGAGGGAACTTTCGCTCGGGTGATTTCATGCCTAACCAAGTGCCCCTCCCACTGTCCTTGATCGCCCGCGATTCAAACGAGTCACGGCTGATTGTACTCTTGAAGTAAATATTAAATCTTAATCCTAATTTAAAACATTTTACTGTCAGAACCTGATACACCTTTCAAATCCTAAGCTTCAACTGCCCACGACGTTCATTTTAAAGTATCGCTCAGTAAATGACAAGCAAAACCGACCCCTGTTTGTTTGAGATCTTTACGAATGAGAGCCATCGCAAAAAACCCACGACCTAAAGCGAACTAAAAGCGAGAGTAACAAAGTCGCGATTGGCCATTACTTTACGTATTATTGACTAAGAGGGTGTCATGAAATCTGTCGATCAATCAGCGACTGTGATAAAAAAAAAAACAATACTTTCCCAGATCATTATCGGCACTCATTTTCGTATCTTTGAGCGAGGGTTTCTTTTCCAATTTTATACAATCAGCACTAAGTACTGCAGAACAAACTACATATAAACTTTACACAAATGAGAAAATGTTAGGATAATTCTCTAAATCTCAACAACACTCTAATAAGGTCGTAGTAGTAGCAAGTATGATAAATATTGTAAGAAATAGACAACGTTTTTGAGAGACATGTTTCGGCATGCTTATGCCATCTTCAATCAATGAGTAACAGAACGTGAGTAATTATATAACAGACAAGTAGATGAATAAAATATTTACAGTATGATGTAATACAAAAGCGGGTACTAATTACAACGTGACACCAAACATCAAAGGTGTGAACTAAAACGCTAGAAAAGTGTTATAATGCTGTAATTGTTTGTTAAGTTCAGGTTTGATCTAGTTTTCACTTCTTTTAAAATTAAGAACATGTTCAGTGTTAAAGATCGTACTCCTGATGCTCTAAAATCCATGGTAGTTTATCAATTTTCTTGTGCGGGATGTAGTTCCCGTTATATTGGCGAAACTAGTCGCCACTTCTCTACTAGGATAAAGGAGCACACGGAAAGCCATAAAAACTCGCATATTTTTAAGCATTTCAACACATCTCCTTGTAAGAACAAATACTCCCTTTCTTGCTTTAGTATTCTGGATTCTGGTAACAACTGAATTGATTTAAAACTCAAAGAAGCTTTTTGATCAAACCTGAACTTAACAAACAATTACAGCATTATAGCACTTTTCTAGCGTTTTAGTTCACACCTTTCATGTTTGGTGTCACGTTGTAATTAGTGCCCGCTATTGTATTACATCATACTGTAAATATTTTATTCATCTACCCTTCTGTTATATAATTACTCACGTTCTGTTACTCATTGATTGAAGATGGCATAAGCATGCCGAAACATGTCTCTAAAAAAAGTTGTATATTTCTTACAACACTCTAATAACAATTTTAAATACATTCCACTGAATATCTGTGGTTTAAGACATTACACTACCATCAAATATTTGAAGATTCGCCAAAAATTCCTTTTGCATGTTTATTATAAGTTAGCTCTATGCAAATAGTACTTAACTTCCATACTTTCCAAAAATAAGTTCTACACAGGAGCAATTCAACCTGACTAATCGTGACTTTTCAAAGAAGGAAAACGAAGAATTCAATAATAGGAATCGATAATCTATTGATTTTTTTTCCATTTTATCGGTTGTGTTATATATATTAAATTATACAAAAAAATTGCTGCGGCCAGAATGTAAGTAAGTTGCAAAATTTCTCTTTTCATCCGAATGTCAAACTTACAGAATAATTATTCATAGCGCTGAACTTCAATTTACATCGTTTTAAACCAAATCTACGTTAAATAAATATGAATATAGGTAATATGATAATTTAGCGAAAAATTCACGGTAATTAATCAAAACCCTCCGATCTTCTGTTATTTTTGAGCAATACAAATTCACGGGCGACTTCATCGTTCATTCTTTGTGACAGAATCTTTAAAATGGTCCAACCTTTGGGATCCATCTGGACGTAGCGTCCAAGGGCTGGGGTGCATGCACATGATCCCATCTCAGCAATGTTCTTCAAGTGAAGCACTGTCATGCCAACAAGATTGTCTGCCCGAGCAAAGCAGTAGTCCTTTACACATATCTGAAGCTCATACGAATCCAATTCACCTTCATTGCCCAAGTGACTGGAGACAAATGCAAACAAATGGTTAGCTAAGCAAATAAAGAGCTTTTCGATTGAGGGGCGCGAAACCAGTATCCGAGAGCAAACACAACGGCTAATGAGATCAGAGGGAGATGTTAGGAGCCAATGAGAATTCAAGAAACAGGTAGACTGTGTAAAGCGCGGGAAAATGGGAGTCATCACGTCGAGGGTTGAGTTTCAAATCAAATGTTAGGGAGGGTGGAGGGGGGAAATTTTTCTCGACCAATCAGAGAGCGAAGTAAAGCAAAACCAACATAACTAACACCCCCAATGAAAACTGCCCTGGTTTCTCCGTTAAAACCTTCCTGCACTCAGACCTTCTCCTTCCAACTTACAAGAAAAATGTTTCGTTGTACAACGGAGACCAGTTGTTGTTTTTTGACCTGGTGGAATTCTTCCGTTTCTTTCCATTGAGACTGGGACCCACAATGTTCACTTCCACAAACGGACGGAACATTCCTAAAAACAAAACCAGGACAACATTAACTTCGAACTTTCCTTTCTCTTTGTGACAGTGCAAATGTAACATTTTTAAAAGAAACTGATAGCTGTTTTGTTTTTTGACATTTTATTTCAATTGAATATACATTTACATACATTACTTACTAGTATAATACTACCATTACTGACATTCTTCGCATTCCTTATATTTCTTTCCAATCGCTGTTAAAATACTAAGTTACTCACCAGGAGACTGCCACCTGAGGTCTTTGGCAGCAACAACTGCAATACAACAACACAATGGACAAATTTAACACTTTCCATCACAAAATAAATTCATAAAAATAGAAACATATCAAGTTTTGGTATTTCCATATTTCTCAGTACCTTTGACAGTAACCTTATGATCTCCTGTTCCAGGGTGGGTGAACAGGTCCACTTGCACTGACACCTCCCCCACTGGGTCATCGACTCCTGGATCCTCTAAAAACACGTGGAAGTGCAACAGATAGTATGAATGGACACCAACTAATCAAGTCAATTGAAAATGACAAATTATA